AATTAAAATTGAAGATTATTTATTCGGTCAAGCAAAAATAATCTATGTATTAACAAAATACACAAAAATTCAGATGAAGGCATGTGCTCATTCAGTGGGCTATGTAGGTTGGTGTGAGCAAAGCAAAAATACTGAAGAAAAATAGGAGGACGGGACCTTGAACTGCAGAAGTGTTGTTGTAGTAGTCTGTAGGTCACGTCGTTGACCCAAGGTGTGCTTCTCTATCCCTAGCTAATCCCAGTGGAACCATGGTCGCGACAGCTCATCTGGTCTGAGGCCGACAACAAGTGGAGGCACCGGACGGGAGACACGGTGTACGCGCATGCATTGCTCGAGGATGCGCGCTTCAGACCATGGCGGCAACGAGGTGGCGGGGGGAGGGGCGGTTGGTAGACCGGATAACTGCTCCTTCCTGATGCCGTCCACTGGTACTGGGGTGAGAAAGGGGTGGTCGCATCCACCAAGTCATCCAGTTGGATCCCGCAGGAACCAAGGCGCGCCATAGGGATGGCCGCGTTTGGTGCCGTCGGCACCGCGAGGAGTAAACGAAGCGCCACCGCGAGGAAGATCCATAGTGGAGGAACCAGATGAGGAAGTGGCTCCAACCACCTGCGAGGGAGGCCAGCGACGCGAGGAGCCGGAGTAGAAAAATCACGGGGAGCTTCTTCGGGTCTGACCAGGGGCGTGGGCAGCAGAGAATGATTAGAAAAGATTTGTTTTCTTTCGGGGAAAAATATTTGAGAAGGTGGGTGAGGGAGTCCTGGATTAGGGGGTATCCGGACAGCCGGATTATATCCTTTGGCCAGACTGTTGGACTATGAAGATACAAGATTGAAGACTTCGTCCCGTGTCCGGATGGGACTCTACTTGGCGTGGAAGGCAAGCTAGGCAATACGGATATGTATATCTCCTCCTTTGTAACCGCCCTTGTGTAACCCTAGCCTCCTCCGGTGTCTATATAAACCGGAGGGTTTTAGTCCGTAGGACAACATACAATCATACCATAGGCTAGCTTCTAGGGTTTAGCCTCTCCGATCTTGTGGTAGATCAACTCTTGTACTACTCATATTATCAAGAACAATCAAGCAGGACGTAGGGTTTTACCTCCATCAAGAGGGCCCGAAGGTGGGTAAAACATCGTGTCTCCTGCCTCCTGTTACCATCCGCCTTAGACGCACAGTTCGGGACCCCCTACCCGAGATTCGCCGGTTTTGACACCGACAGTGGGCTTGAGTGGCACTGCATGAGGTGTGACATGGCTGATTGTAGTTGGATGCTGATGTGACTATGTTGCATGTTGAGATAAATCAAGTATTGAAGGTGAACTTCTTAAGTATATAGGATATCATCAAGCGTTGAACGGAAGGATCTCTACTCCTAATGGACGAGTTGGTGAATCGTCTCCGCGGTTTATTTTCGCTGGTTTTTTCGTCTCTCCTCCCACCACCCCCTCCCACCCTGGTCCGCGGTTTATTTTCGCTGGTTTTTTCGTCTCTCCTCCCACCACCCCTCCCACCCTAGTCCATTGGTTTATTTTTCCCTCCACTATTTATTACAACAAGAACTTTCCTAACGTATAACAAATCACGGATCTAACTTCCTTAAATTATGCAAATCAATCGATTCTTTTTATTAGTTCAATTTGTCTTAGGAAACAAATAACAAATTTTCAGAAAACAAATAATACATTTTAATCTAACTTCCTTAAATTATGCAAATCAATCGATTCCTTTTATTGGTTCAATTTGTCTTAGGAAACAAATAACAGTTTTTCAGGAAACAAATAATACATTTTAATATAACTTCCTTAAATTATGCAAATCAATCGATTCCTTTTATTGGTTCAATTTGTCTTAGGAAACAAATAATAGATTTTTAGAAAACAAATAATACATTTTAATCTAACTTCCTTAAATTATGCAAATCAATCGATTCCTTTTATTGGTTCAATTTGTCTTAGGAAACAAATAGCAGATTTTCAGGAAACAAATAATACATTTTAATCCAACTTTCATAACTTATCTAAATCAATCGATTTCTCTTATTAGTGAAATTTGTTTTAGGAAACAAATAACAGACACGTCACAACTTTCCTCCCAATAAATAGTTTCTTAACATTTGTAAATTTTCCTAATCAGACACGTCACAAACGGGCAGGTACTGATATCACGTTACCAAACAATAAAACCCAATTTGCATAGAAAATCAGTTCAAAAATCCCAACTTTCCTAAATTTTTACCTTTCCTTGATAACAACCAATCTCTACTCCTAATGGAGCAGTTGGTAGTCTCCGCCGGTCAATTTTCGTCCCACCTATCATGGTTTTTTTTCGTCCCACCTTCGCTGGTTTTTTTCCGTAGATTTTTTTATGATTGCCCTCTCACCCCTTTTGCATTTGGATGTCAAAGCTTTGTGGGTTGTTTATTTCAGTTCTGCGACTACTTCTCTTATGGATCTTAAGAGAACTCGAGGGATATCGTTTCGAACAAAGTTGGTCACTTGTTTCTCCAGAAATTACGCTATTGCATAGTATCATACCCGCTGCAAAGGAACGAAAGTAGTATGGTAGTATAAATAAATAAGGTTGTATCGTTTTCCTTTTTATCCGTTTGATAATTATGATAGAATTATTGCATGAAGTTGTGTGCGCATACAATATGTAACCAAATGTGGATTATAATAGATTCAAGCCTTGCTTCTTCACGTGGAAGCAAGTCTTCATCTTCTTAAGGGATTATCCGCTACAGTGCCTAGGAAATTCAGAGGACGTTTTTAATGGTCTGTTAACTAAAGCGATGGTCATCCAAAAATATATTTGAAGTTGATACTAACCATAATAAGTGCATAACAAGCCTACATGTTGTCTACATTTTTGCAGATCTCGCTATCCTTGTTTAACTCAATGGAATCAGATAATTTAATCGTGTTCCCTAACAAGTCCTTGTAGATGTGCACCTTCCCCCTCTGACCATCTCCTCAGGGTCTCTCTCTAATCCTAGAGCCAGGCAACAAGAATGGTTGGTTTTAAGAACAACATGTATCTATTTATTCATTATTGATTTATTGTTTCCGGGGAATTGTTTTGCCCCTAATCATATCATTGTTACTCTACGTGCATTAGATTATGAGTATGACAATGAAGAATTTTATGTAAATGCTAATGGTTGACTACCACATTACAATGCTAGGCCTGCCTGAGTTTTGAGGACCCTTCTACTTTCCATTCCACAAGAAAAATAACACACAAATTTATCACACAGTAGATACATTAGCGCACAGTAGATATAGTAGATATTGTTCCAACGAGTGCCTGTCCCTGGGCGTGGCGAAATCCTGCCCACGGCACTGCTTCCATGTATCACATTTTGTATTCTACTTTCTTTACCTGAATGATGCACAATCCAAGCAGATTTACCTTAATTGTGTTTAATTTGTTTAATTGCAGATTTACGTATTTATTTAGTCTTGGCCATGTATAATTTTGTGCACGATGTTTGGAATAGTACTTATTGACAACTTCCGGCAACTTTGTTTACTATGTACAATGCCAATTACATGGCACGAATGTTGATTCTCATAACACGATTTTTGGTGCACTTCTCACCTATATACCGAGAATGAAATTGGAGACAACATCCATGAGAATTGCATAATCTAGTTTACGAATTACTGAGATAATTGCTTGTGTCTTCACTCTTTACACTATGCATAGAATGATAAATTATAACATTTCTTGGACATTTGAATCATAAGTTGATTGGCCCAGGAGCTTTGCCGACGTATCGAGGATGAAGTCGGATTGCGGAAGCTCTCCGAGGCCAAAGCCCAAAGGGTTGGCTGATATCTGGAGATAGTTTCATTTCAACTATATGTGGGTTGTTTTCCTTTCCGCGACATTATGGTTGCCCGCCAGGTGTAGTCGTCGTCTTTGTAACCGCGGCATGGCCGCCCGACTCTATGTAATGTCTATTTGTTCTTCTAATACATCAGCATGCAAACCTTCTAATACATCTTCTAATAAAAAAGTTGATTTATGGTATTTGGATTGCTACCAGAATGTATTTTCTATGCATGTGATTTCTCACATATGGTTATAATATTTATGAAGACGTGCATTACAAGCGCACTTGGAAGCGGGCCCGTGACCCGCGCCGGACAGCGCCGACGCCAACCCGGGCCACCTCATCCGCGTATTCTTGGAGCTGTGGCTGGCCGATTTACATGAAATTAATCCTCTCAGTTGTGGTGGCAAAAATAATACACATAATCCATATTGTTATGCACTAGCGTGTGTGTGAAATAGATGGATTATGGTCCCGTACCCAATAAAATGAATATGTGTGTGTGTTAGAGAGAGAGAGGGAGAGGGGGAGAGAGAGTGAGGAAGAATGAGGGAGGGTGTGTGTGTGAGGATTTGATGGTAAAAAAGGTTGCCAATGTCATAATATTAAACTTTTAAAGTTAATGTGGCCTCGTTGCGACGCACGGGCGTTCTTCTAGTCACGTTAATTATGAAGAGTATCATTTTTTAGATGATTGGATGATGTTGCTGTAATTGTAATTATGAAGCGTATCATTTTTTAAGAGAAGGATCACGATTAATTATGAATGATAGTTTATGGTAATATGATTTCCACGGCGACGCATATGCATCATCTAGTTTCCATTTCCCCTAAAAAAAATCCATCTACGTAGTTTCCATAGTTTTTTTCTTTTGAGATGGTAGTTTCCATAGGTTGATATATAAATCAGCTCTATATAAATAGCCCTATTGAGTTGGGAAAGATGCCCCGAAATTACGTTGTCCGTTGATAGAAACGAAACGGGTACGCCGGGGCAGACTGCCGTCGGTCGCCCATCGGATCCAATCTGATCCTCACGGCCATTGGCACTTGACGAGGCGGAGTTGAAATTCCATACGGCCTCTCTCTTCGCCTTCGCCTGCCCCCTCTCGTGCTCGCGAGCCGCGTCAAAACCCTAGCCACCTTCTGCCCACCACATGCACCGCGGCAGCGACCGCTCCGGCGACCCCTCCGGCCCCGCGGGCGGCGCTCGCAGCGGCGCGGACGGCAGATTCGCACGCGGACCCTCACGCTGGTCCGGCGGCGGCGGGGGTAGCCCCCCGCCCCACCGCTCCTCCCGCGGCGGGAGCAGCGACGGCGGCGGAGGCGGAGGCGGGAGGTTCCATCCGTACCGTGCGCCGTCTGAATACGTTGTTGGCGGTGGTGGAACTGGAGGGTACAGAGGCGGCGGCGGCGGCGGCGACTTTGGTGAGACGGCCGGTGGAGCGAGGAGCCGCTACGGAGGCGGTGGCAGCGGCGGCGGAGGCCGTGGAGACTACTCAGGTTTGGTCCAGAGTCTTGGCTTCTGCGCTTTGGTGTTTTCTAGGTTTTGCTGTGCTGTGCTGCCTCTAGATGTGGAATTTTAGCTTGTGTACGCACGGGAAAAGGTTTTGGGCTTTTGGTCCGCTGAGGAATAGGTTTTGAAGTTGTTCTTCCGTGACCACTGGAAGATTTTACACCAAATTCAATCAATTGTTGTTAACTTGCCGTAGCTGAACAGTCAATGTTGGGATGTGACAAACCGGGCCACCATGTATGGTGCTAGCATGTATACCATGTTGGCAAGACCACCCACCTTTTTGCATGAAGGATGAGCTTATACTGGTTTTAGATGTACATGCTGTAGTTTGCCATGGTAGACGGGGGATTACATTCTTTGCCCCACTTTACTAGGGTTTGATGATTTGTCCAGGTTGTCTCAATGGCTGGTGGTCCCCCCCCCCCTTCTCAGGGGACGCGGGGGGTGGGGTGGGGGTGGCAAATTTTATTGTGGTTAAATCATATAATGGTATGGCCTACGAGCCTATCTTGTGATGAAGCTTCAGATAAGTTATTGTAATAGGCAGCTTCAGCTAGGTCATATTTTTTTTATCCAGATGTTGACCTTCAGTCATAACCGTTGAGCTGAATGATATGTTTTCCCTCCTAGTAAGCAGTTCATGTACCAATTTGAACCCATCCAGTTTTTATTCAACCAGTAATCAATGTCTGTAGAACTTATGTTTGTTAGCTGATTGTACTGTTTTATCTCATTGAGCTTTAGTGGAGAAATAGTTGAGTTTGTTTTGCACCCTTTCATGAGCTAGTTAATTGATATTCATGTGGAAAACTTCCTGCAGATCATGATAACAAAAGTGGTTATGTTAAACTTTTTGTTGGATCAGTTCCAAGAACAGCAAATGAAGATGATGTGAGTACAACTTCCATATTAGTATCTGCCAATTTGTACCTGCAGATTTGTTAGTACGTCTACTTTACATAATCTCAGAACTTGGAAGGATGCTTTGTTGTACATTAACTTCGTTTTTTTTTATCATGGCTTATTGCTATTCATGAAACCATGCCAATGTTTATATAAATTGGAAGTCCTATAAGTTAGCTAGGTGGTAAAAGGGCATTTTCTGTGTTAAGAAAATCTACATTTTAAAGAGAGCTAGCGTAAAATTTAGCTATCTTATCTGCATAACTCATTTTTTTTACAAATTTGCATCTTCTCAGTTACAAGCTCACAAAGTTGAAAATTGAAGTAGCTCAGCAGTTCATATATTTTTCTTTCTTTTCTTGTTGGCATCCTTTTGATCAGTATTTGTTCTCTTGTTGTGTGTGCTTTTTTTTCCTTCTGAGAATCAACAAATATGTTGTATTTGTTTGTTTGTGAAAGTCCACTCTACTGTTTTCAGGTTCGACCTTTATTCGAGGATCATGGAGATGTTCTTGAAGTTGCTTTGATCAGGGATAGGAAAACTGGTGAACAACAAGGTGAGCCATAAGTATATTTTTCTTATATTATCAATATACCAGTATCGCTTTCTTTTCAGGTTCTGAGAGTATTAGGAGCAACAAGGTTGCGTCTTCTCTCAGTTAGATTTGGCGGTTGTTGAATTTTGTTTCCTGCGCTTCCGTTCTGTTTCTTCGTCTGGGTTAATAGAAGGCAAGAAAGGAAGCAGCTAACTCTTGGCTGGTTACTGTAATCTAACTAGGCTCCACCCTGCTGCTACATAAGGTAGCAGATTTGGACAAACAACTTTGTTCAGGTCATAGCAATCTTGTGCTTGTTGCCACGTTCAATGTAGTATGACCAGAAATAACTATGGTGATGTGTTACTGTTGCATCTATTTGTTTTGAATGCGATGCAAAAGGCCAGAGGACCTCCTAATGAATTAAGATTAACTTTTCATTCTTTCCCTTCCATGGTTTCAGATTTCTTTTATACACTTCTTATCATGAGTTGCACTGTATGGAATCCCTGGTTGAATCTCTTAATGTGGTTGCCTGGGGTTGGATGATGCTGTGTGGTGTTGTTCTGAGTTGAGTGATCTAAATTGATGTGATATTGTTCGTTTTATGTGGGATATGATGGTTGCATGTTTAATCTGGAACTGTGCTTTGATGGACAATATTACACTGTTGTTCAGTTCAACTATACATGGTCGCCATGTGAGTGATGCCAAACGCTTGGTTGCTCTGAACAAAACGTATCTCATGAGTTCAGGTTATTTGATTGGCGACGCTGTGTCTCAAAGCAGTTTTGGATGTTTGTGTGTGACAATGATAAATTCTCGATCCACTCAGTAGGGATCATATATTCAAAAGAATGGCGTTGCTGGGCTCGGCGACTGTGATTGTGGCACTTCACACCTATTTGAATTATGAAACACATTATATCCATAGGAACATTAACTGCTGTATGATTGACTTGTTCTGGTAGGATTTAATGGTGTGATTTTTGCCCTGTACGTTCGAGTTGATGGCACTGTTGGTATTATTTCTGATACCACTTAAGTGTGACATCTCTTTTGATGGTTCTGGCATTCTTGTTCTTACTATCTTGGTTATTTTTCTTCTGTACCATTGCATGATGCTGACATTGACATACCAAAAAGTTATCTTCGTTGCGTGTGTTATTGAGATCTCCCTGGCGTAATTTATGTATATGTAATTCACGTGGAGTCTTCCAACCCATACTGTTGGACTCACAGATTCATGCTGCATGTAACTGTTGCATTCTATATCAGCCATGCAGATGAGATGAATGCTATGGCCTATGTGAAAGCCCTTGCACTTGACCTGTGGTCATTGTGATTTCTTGGAAATGATTGGTGAAGCATGTGCTCTTAATTGGAGCTGAATCTCAGTTCTAGACCGTTTTAACTCGTCATATGTGCATATACGGGTTAGATCAACAGTTGAGCTGTTGGAGTTGTATATGGATGAGCGAAATGATGCAGCCTGATCTATATGATACTGTTGATGCCTTTTGTTTATCATGTATGATTTCGTTGAGACCTTGAGTGTGGCTGTTATGAGTACACTAGTCTGCTCAGCGCACTGCAGCATATCTTTGGGGCAACCATACTATTAGTGTTCAGCATGTAGTGCTATATTTGAGGCTCTCTGTTGTGACAGGGTCTTTCTATCGTTGATGGATCTGTCTACACGATGATGCACAATTTCTGTGCATAAAATATTGTAATTAGGGTGGAGTGCTGGTTGGTTATACATGGTGCTTTATGCGAAACCTACATGTCTCTTGTAGTGCAAATAATTTGCTTTGCGTTTTGTTCTTGTACTCTGGTGATGACTGTAATGTTTCATTGTGGGATCCAGTTTGTCTCCACTGAATTTCTAGTGGAACTTGCAGTCAGCTGGAGCATTGTAAATTTTTTATTTCATGTCTCATATATTAGCTACACTTGAAATTGTGCTTGGTGTTGCAGAGTGCAGCCCAATTGATAATTTGACATGTCTGCACGCCATTCTATTCTTTTTCCTATTGAGGGTTTTGATGGTTGTTTTGTTTATTGACTTATATGCCCCTGGATATTGGAGGAAGTGGTGGAAGTTGTTTTTTCTTGATCAATATATCATTGAACTTTATTACCTGTTTGGAACTTACCTCCTTGTTTCCTTCACTTCGCCAACTCCACTATGTTTTGTATTGCATGTACATTATATGAAGTTGAACTACACAGAAAATTTCAATGCCTTGTGATGAAATTCCATATGCTTGCATTTGCAGGCTGTTGTTTTGTTAAATATGCTACTTCTGAAGAGGCTGAGAGAGCCATCAGAGCTCTGCATAACCAGTGCACTATTCCTGGGGTAACTTTTATTTTTTGTTAGCCATCTGTTTAATGTGAATCTTTTGTCTGTGAATTATTGACTATATGCGTCTGTTCTATCAGGCGATGGGCCCTGTTCAGGTTAGATATGCTGATGGTGAAAAGGAGCGTCATGGTAATACTTCAAGTACCTCTGTTACCTTATTAGCTTGCCTATCACTGGCCAGTTTATGCTTTGTTTTTTGCGGGTCGTTTATGCTTTGTCATTGCCTCGCAATTATTCTCTCCAAAGTATCACTGGGTACTGAGTTTGTTTGCTGTGAATTCTTAACATAGTTAATCGGCACTGGAAAATTGATATAATGATATGCCTTAATACATTTAGATGCCTTTTTCTTACAGCAGTCTTCTCATGTTCCTGTTTTCTTCACTTGTTCAACATCCACAGATTTGTCCTATTGTAACAAATAGTACTGCACTTCTAAGAACCTTAATTTTTATTATTCTGAGTTCGGCAAAATAAAAATATCATGAGAACTAAGTTATGCTTGACCTGTAATTATTCAGATATTTTTTGATGTACTTATTGGATGATTAATTGTTTTCCTCAACTGATTTGCTAGGGTCTATTGAGCACAAATTGTTTGTTGCATCACTGAATAAGCAAGCAACTGCAAAGGAGATTGAAGAGGTAAGGGACTTGCTCAGTAGTTTTCTTTGTTTGTAAGAATATTGTGCTTGGAGAAACTTGTCATCTATCTGTAACCATTGATAATTTAGCAACTGCATATTAAATTATATCTGTGTTCTATATTCTTCTTTATAGATTTTTGCTCCTTTTGGTCATGTGGAAGATGTTTACATTATGAAAGATGGCATGAGGCAGAGCCGAGGTTTGTTAGATTCATTTTCTCACTTCATTTCTTCTATGCACTTCTGTTCCAACTTATGTCATGACATGTGTAACAACTTGCAGGCTGTGGTTTTGTCAAATTCTCATCAAAAGAACCTGCACTTGCAGCCATGAATTCTCTTAGTGGGACTTACATAATGAGGGTAACTATTTTTGCCAGGCTGATTAGTAGTTCTGCTTTTGCCTCAGAATGCTTACTGTATCTGTTATGCTGTTAGGGGTGCGAGCAACCATTAATAGTTCGATTTGCTGATCCGAAGAGGCCTAGACCTGGAGAATCAAGGTGGTTAAGAGCATGATTTTTTTGCTTATATTCTAACTCTGCACTAGTTTAGTGGCATGGTAGCATGGTACTACGTTAGACAAGTGCTATCATCCCCATCACTGCTCTCTGATTTATCTTGTTTGGTTAGGGGTGGCCCTGCATTCGGAGGTCCTGGTGTCAGTTCTCGATCTGATGCAGCACTAGTTATCAGGTTCTTTTTCCTCTTTTTTGAGCTATTCAATTTATATACGGCAGAAGAATTGATTGGTAGAATTTGAAACAAATACAGATTGGGCTTAATCTAAATCTCTGTGGAATTGAACGTGGTTGGATTTTTTTTACAAACACCAATCGTAAATATGCCAGGTTCAACTAATGTACCAGCACCCTATATGTAAGGGAGGTTTGCAATCCTATGTGCTATGTTGATTAGCAAGTAATATACAAATACTACATAAGATATATCACCAGAGTAGCGCACTTATGAAGTGCTATAATGTAAATGGGACAACTGACTGAAATGATGTCTGGTCCTTAGTTTGGATATCTACTGATATCCCACGTGCCTGTTGAGGTGCTCACTGACTCGTTATCAAGAGTGGGTTATCTGTCAAGTCTAATCCTCTTGAGGACAACCCGACATCTCCTCGATCACCATGACCTGCTCTTTTCTCAGATGGTGCTCCACAACCACCTCAAAAAAGCGCTCTGGCGTTGTCACAAGCTTCTTGAAGAAATCACAAGAACCTCTCTTTTACCTAAGCAAAGCCCAGTGTAATTTTTCTTTCCTTTTGGCTTCGGCCTGTACTGGTTATTTTCTTCTCCTCTGCTAATAGATACGACAGCTTTCCTGTCAATTTTTCGAAAAAATAGCCAACCGGCCAACCCGTCTAGAAGGGGTGGCCATCAAGAGTACCAATCTCTCGGACTTTGGCTTGAACATGATCAACGCCGATAGCTCAAATTGATGCAACAAAGGCAATTGCAATGCACACCCAATGCACCAACTCTTCCCTCACCTCACGTTCCACAACTTATACACTAGCGGACTTTGGTGGATTTGTTCGCATGCTTCAGGCCGGGCTTGGGCCTGCCCTGGGTATGATTAGGTCTAATCATGGCCATCCTTGAGTTTCACTATGAACATCGTCTTGGTCATTACTCGATCTTCTCTTGAACCTGACCTTCATCATATTTGGTTCACTTGTATGATTGTATCTTTGATCCTTTGAAGTTCATCCCTATGTTTTTTCTTGACACAAGTTGTCCCCCCTCTTGAACTTGTTAATCTTGATGCATATCTTTATTTGATGACATTCATCCTGGAAAATCCATCCAATATCCTTCATGCATCACCTGTGAAAACCTCATACACAACGTAACAAAACTGTTTGTCCACAGTAATTTTCATTATTACCGAAACCACACTTAGAGGATAGTTATACTTCCCAATTGCCAAAAGCATTAAACAAACAATATATATATTTTCAGCAAATTCAAAAAAGAATTGCATGAATTAATGATATGTATGGATAGATACAATGTAATACTTTGGATAACAAATAGTTTGATGCTATAGAAGTTTCAGTTCATGTTTTCTCTTTGTCTGACGCTCAAGTATAGCCTGTTATACTAAGCATACTCCTATTGCTAGTTCTAAACCATTCTACTCACTGGTAATTATTTTTTTGTACTTAGGCCGACTGCCAATCTTGATGAGCAAATAGGTCGACACATGCCTCCTGACAGTTGGCGCCCTTCAAGCCCAAGCTCAATGGCACCTCATCAGTTTAATAACTTTGGGTCTGACAATTCTATGGGCCTGATGGGCGGCCCTGTTACATCAGCAGCAGATAATGTATGGTACAAGCTAAGCCTTTACTAGTGTTACTTTTTCATAGTCTACTTACCTTTGATCATTGCAGGTTACTTTTCGGCCTCAGATGTTTCATGGGAATGGTTCTTTGTCAAGTCAGACAGCTGTGCCGACATCATCTCATATGGTACTGGCATATTAGGACTTCTGATGTTTGTGAATTGACTTTGATCTTTTGTTTCCCGCGCCTGGTCGTCAATGGTCTTGACGCCTTTTACTTTGTAGGGCATAAATCCTTCCTTGTCACAAGGGCATCATCTAGGTGGGCCACAGATCTCGCCCTTGCAAAAGCCAACTGGCCAACCGCAGAATTTCCCTGTACAGTTGCAGAATGCTCAGCAAGGGCAGCTTCATGCCTCACAATCCTTGGGGCCTGGTTCTTTTGGCCAGAATATACCAACTATGCAATTACCTGGCCAGCTCCCTGTGTCACAACCGTTGACGCAGCAAAATGCTTCTGCAGGCGCTCTACAGGCGCCTTCAGCTGTACAGTCCAATCCCATGCAAGCTGTTCCTGGACAACAGCAACTTCCTTCGAATGTAACACCGCAAATGCTGCAGCAGCCTGTCCAGCAGATGCTGTCACAAGCACCACAGTTGCTACTCCAACAGCAGCAGGCAGCTATACAGTCCAGTTATCAATCTTCACAGCAGACGATTTTTCAGCTTCAGCAACAGCTGCAGCTACTGCAGCAGCAGCAGCAGCACCAGCAGCAACCTAACTTAAATCAGCAGCCACATACGCAAGTTCCTAAGCAACAGGTAATTCCTCTATTACCATGAGAAAGTGTTTTTCTTAATCACTCTGCACAATTCCTTCTGTTTTGGCTTCCTTTCCTTGCCATAATTTATGTTCTCTGGTCTGTGTTGTATTATGCATTTACATTTGACACAAGTTCAAAGTTTTTGTGTACTGTTATTCACTGTTTCAGTTTGGGTTTGCAGGGACAGCCGGTGCAATCTAATACCCCTGGTGCTCCGGCTGCCATGATGACGACAAAAATAAATGCAATTCCACAGCAGGTCAATTCGCCTGCAGTTTCTTTAACTTGCAATTGGACCGAACATACCTCACCGGAAGGTTTTAAATATTACTACAATAGCATAACTCGAGAGAGTAAGGTGAATACTTCATCACATATCATCTTGAAATTAAAATATTGGGAATTTGATTCTTATGAGCTATTATGTTGCAGTGGGAGAAGCCTGAAGAATATATACTGTATGAGCAGCAGCAGCAGCACCAGAAACTTATTTTACTTCAACAGCACCAACAAAAGCTTGTTGCGCAGCAACTTCAGTCACCTCCTCAGGCTCAAACTATTCCGCCTATGCAATCTATGCAACACCATCCCCAGTCACAGCAAGGACATAACCAAATGCAGATGAAACAGCAGGTGCCCATTTTTTTAGCTGTAAGAGGTTTTATATTTATATAAATACTGCTCTGGTGCATTGCATTATCCTCACAGCACTTTATAATAACAATGTATGGCATCGTTGCAGTCTCCCATCGTTTGCCTTGTTGTTACTAAAGCCGAGTCTAAATTATGATATCTGAAGTTTGAAATTTCAAAAACTTCTACAGGATTTGAATTATAATCAGTTACAGGCAACTGGCACGATTGATCCCAGTAGGATTCAGCAGGTAATATATTGCATTATTTAGACCTCACAATATCTTTGCATTGGTTAAGAACATGAGTTGACATAATTTATCTTGGTGACTTCATGTAGGGAATTCAAGCTGCTCAAGAGCGTTCTTGGAAAAGTTGACTGCAGGTGAGCAATAAACCTATGTTTCTTTACTGTTTGTGACCGTACCTTAGTTTGGAACTTGTGAAGTATTCACGTGGTAAGCTAATTGCTTTCTTTGCAAAATGCTGATGTGAATATAACCACTTGAATACCTGATTTGATGTTCTGTATGAAAAATGCTGCCATATAATGTAATTGGCGGTCATTAAAGTTGTGATTTACAAAGATTCTTCGTTTTACCCATGTTTACAATGAATGTTGGCATGTTATGTAAGGAAAATAAATTTTAGCTCTTTCATTCCATTTTTTTGAATTTTGTTCTTGGGAGGATATTATGGTGAAGCAATGGGATTGCTTTATTTGCAACCTCGGGCATGTACATGTTTCGCTGACTTTCTACCATTTTAGGTGGACGAATGATGTGTCAGCCAAGACTCCAGTCTCAGGAATGTGCTCCAGCAAAACCTGCCGCTTCCGTCTGTGACAGTGTTTTTTGCCTTCGCGCGGATGGCCATGTTGACTCTTGCGGTCATTGTAACTCTGAATTTAGCTTAGATTAGTGCCTAGATTGTAGATCCTATGTGTGTAAAATGTTTGCAGTCTAGGCCTTGTATCACTGTAACATTGCCGATTAGAATGGCAGCTGTGAATCGCTGTAACATTCCGTGTTTTTATTTACCTTTTTTATGGCCAGAATTGATGTCCTCATATGCATCAGCATTGCTATTTTTTATTTTTTACCTGGATGTTGGTGCTGTTCTTCGTAAGAATTTAGATCGCTTCATTTGCCCAGCAGTGGTACCTCCTAACCCGGGGCCAAACCGGCAACTTCGGAAACTTCTGTACTCTCTGAACCACCGGAAGTCAAGGTTATGGCACGATCGTTAATCAGATCTTGTTTCTCGTGGGCAGACAGGGCATTTGGAAAGGGAAAGGTCTGAAAAAACCTTACTCCAAGTCTGTAGAGAACCTTGTCCTCTAAATCCCTGAAATTAGCGCACTGTTATATTGCTATCAGATATATGTTTATGTTTTAGCTCAAGGCTCAAATGACAATTCAATACCCTTTACAGATGCAGAGCAGGCTTAATACCCATTACAGATGCTGAGCAGGCTTACATAGCCGTGCGGGCAATCACACGACGACGAGTCATTGAGCCGTCAGATTCCTAGAGCCAGTGGCGGTGCCAGGATCAAAACCTTATGTCAAGTTTCTCTAATGAAGTTTTTTTAGATAATTAACATGAACAAAAAGGATCATACTTTATTAAGAAAATATTTATGATAGTGGTCTTGCGATCATGCATATTTTTATATGTATGCATCAGTACTAATAGGTTGGAATACATCTGCTTTATAACATAAGTAATGAGACAATGATACTAGAAATCACCATCTATTCTATTGCGCAAATCAGACTGAAGACATGCTATCCATTTACCAAATTGAAGATCTGGCAAAAACAAGATACTGCTAAGAAAATATGGCCAAGAAAAACAACATATATTCTTAGTAAGGAACAATCTCTTACTTTCTAATATTGCTCGTGAGATAAAAAAATTGGAAAATAACTGGAGAAGCTGAGAAGAAAGACACAACTTAATTATATACAAAAAAGGGGAAACCGGGGAAGGGCACCGTCCGAGTGTTAGACTGGAAGTTGACCAATGATGGACGATGCGTCAGACGTCGCTCATGGCTCACGGTGACCGTGCTTGGCGCACAAACCAAGATTGCATCTTAGTTTTCTATTTTTGGAGAGGCAGAAGAGGCAGACACCGGCCAAAACTGAAAAAGTGGAGAAGCCTAATAACTAGGGAGGGAGAATCACGTGGTTTGTGGATCGATCGATCAAGTTATTATTCCCTTCGTAAATTAATATAAAAGCATTTAGATCACTACTTTATAGTAATTTAAACACTCTTATATTAATTTACGGAGGGAGTACTAGTTTTGTACTACTACTTCCTTTGCTCCTAGTATTTGACCAGCCAAACATTACACAAATTTGATGACCGGTGGGCCTATGTAGTCTCTAGCATTTGTTCAGCCGGTGGGTATACATATTTTTTTACTTGCCAAATTGCCGTTGTGGCTTCGCCACTGCCCAGAGCGATCACTCCAACTTGATCGTCCGATAACTGAATCTCGTCGAGAGAAGTGCATATTTCAACTCTTAATTTTTGCCCTAGTCTAATTTACAACCCCGAACTCCAATATCATCTAAATTACAACCCCCAACTCTCAAAACTGGCCAGGATTCAACCCTCCCCTCTATGTTAACCGGTTTTGACCTGGTTGACCGGTTTTGACAAGTCAACAGGTCCAGTCAGCATGCCACATCAGCAAAAAATGCAAAATTTCCAAGGAAACAACCTGTAAAATCGAAGAAAATCCAGGAAAAGAAATAAGAAATCCAATTTCCAAAAAACACGGAAAATAAAAAAACGAATTTCCAAAAAAAATCCAGAAAAAACCCAAAAGCTCAAATTCCAGAAAAAAAAAATCATTTTTTATTTTCCCTAGCTTTTTTCGCGAACAATTTTTTCGGAATTTTGCCTTTTTATATTTTTTCCCTGATCTTATAGATTTTTATTTACTTTTTCTTGAAATTTTGAAAAAAATTCTGACGTGGCATGCTGATTGGACCCGTTGACTAGTCAAAACTGGTCACCCCAGGTCAAAACCGGTCAACAGGGAGGGGAGGGTGGAATCCTGACCGGTTTTGAGACTTGGGGGTTGTAATTTAGACGGTATTAAAGTTCAGGGTTGTAAATTAGACTAGGGCAAGAGTTCAGGGTTGAAATATGCACTTCTCTCAATCTCGTCAGGTGAGTTAACTGAAGATGAACGCGCCCGACAATGCCTCCCCAAAAAACAAACCTGTCCTTAAGGAGATGAAGCTGGATTAAACCATGCTTCTACCATAGATTTGAAGAATGTTGGCGATGCCTTCTTGATGAAGTCCGTGTCTTCCCAGCTGGCGTCGTTAGTGACGGCATCCTGGACTAAGGGGTACTAACCTGTACGGCCCACAGTCCACGGGTCGGGCTTATAACCCGAAGATCACTAAAAGGAAGGACTACCGAAGCTATGAACCTTGGCGCGATCAAGATGAAAACCTTCGAAGGCTTGGCGTACACTTCAAGGATTGCTCTATAGCCGCCATATTGGAAACCGATCATATGTATAACCTAGATACCCCCGGTGCATACATAAGCCGAGGGGTTTAGTATTTATAGGCACGATTACCAGGCTTAGGGTTTAGAACACAATCATACGATCTCGAGATAGATCATCTTGTACTCTGTACTCCATCACATCAAGATGATCAAAGCAGGACGTAGGGTTTTACCTCTTCGATAGGGCTCAAACCTGTGTAAACATCGTCTTCCTTCTTATCATGTTGCTATTGTTTCTAGACTAACAGCTCAGGACTCTTACTCAAGATATGCCGGTTTTAGCACAGACAATCAGGAGGTAAATTAGCCCATTGCACGTGCCATTGAATCACATGTAGGTTGTGGCGAGGAATTTGCCATTTTTCTAAGACCAGAACAGGCTCGGTTTTGATGAATCCATCAGAGCCCACCAATGGAAGGTCCTCACAAGGTACTGCCCTGGGGTCAATGTTTTTTTTTCAATTAGTTGACGTGAAACACTGGATGAATCTGGGAAGTTGCAGGTAGCAAGAGTTTATAAGCGACGTTGCCCACTTTCGCAAGCACATGGAAAGGCCATAGAACCTGCTCCGCAGTTTGACATGTGTACGCAAGACAAATGCATTCAGACGGTAGGGTTTCATCTTCACGTAAGCCATATCACCTGTTGGGAAATGTTGCATGGAAAACACAAAATTTTCTATGCACACGCAAGATCTATCCATGGAGATGCATATCTACGAGAGGGGAGAGCATCTTCATACCCTTGAAGATCGCTAAGCGGAAGCGTTTATCAACGCGGTTGATGTAGTCGTACACCTTCACAATCCGTCCCGATCAAGTACCGAACATACGAGACCTCCGCGTTCAGCACACGTTCAGCTCGATGACGTCCTCGCCTTCTTGATCCAGCAAGAGGGGCGAAGTAGTAGCTGAGTTCCGGCAGCACGACGGCGTGGTGTCGGTTGGTGATGAAGAACAATCTCTGCAGGGCTTCACCAAGCACTACATAAACTAGATGAAGGATAAACTAGAGGGACGGGGTTGTCGGCACACGGCTTGGTGAATCTTGATCTGTCTTGGGTGCTAGCCCTACCTCTCTATTTATATGTTGAGCCCTGGGGTGGAAACTTGGAGTAAAAGCCTCCTCAAAGTCGGTTTTGCCCGAAAGGTAAGAGTCCTTCTCGGACTACAGGGCTAGACGCCAGGGTTCCCGACGTCTATCGCCCAGACGCCAGGGTTCCTGGCGTCTGGCCCCTGGCCTCCGAAAAACTTCCTTTGCACTTTCCAAAACCCTCGTGGGCTTTACCCCTTGGCCCAAATAAAGTGTTCTCGTGCCCAAACATTTCCGGAAACATCCAAAACCCCTTCTGGTGAATTCCGGAACCCTTCCGAAGACCAAACACCATTATCCCATATATCAATCTTTACCTCTGGACCATTCCAGAGCTCCTCGTCATGTCTGTGATCTCATCTGGGACTCTGAACAACATTCGGTCACCAACATACATAACACATATAATACTATATCGTCAATGAACATTAAGCGTGCGGACCCCACGGGTCCGAGAACTATGCAGACATGACCGGGACACCTCTCCGGTCAATAACCAATAGCGGAACCTGGATGCCCATATTGGCTCCTATATTCTACGAAGATCTTTATTGGTCGAACCTTATGACAACATACGTAATTCCCTTTGTCCATCGTATGTTACTTGCCCGAGATTCGATCATCGGTATCTTCATACCTAGTTCAATCTCGTTATCGGCAAGTCTCTTTACTCGTTCCGTAATACATCATCCTGCAACCAACTCACTAGTCACTTTGCTTGCAAGGCTTCTTATGATGTGTATTACTGGGAGGGCCTAGAGATACCACTCCGATACTCGGAGTGACAAATCCTAATCTCGATATATGCCAACTCAATAAACACCTTCAGAGATACCTGTAGAGCATCTTTATGATCACCCAATTACGTTGTGACGTTTGATGGCACACAAGGTATTCCTCCGGTATCTGGGAGTTGCATAATATCATAGTCGAAGGAATGTGTATTTGACATGAAGAAAGCAATAGCAATAAACTGAACGATCAATATGCTAAGCTAATGGATGGGTCTTGTCCATCACATCATTCTCCTAATGATGTGATCCCATTATCAAATGACAACACATGTCCATGGTTAGGAAACCTTAACCATCTTTGATCAATGAGCTAGTCTAGTAGAGGCTTACTAGGGACACAATATTTGTTTATGTATTCACACATGTATTTAAGTTTCCGATCAATACAATTGTAGCATGAATAATAAACCTTTATCATGAATAAGGAAATATAAAATAACAACTTTATTATTGCCTCTAGGGAAAATTTCCTTCACTCTCCCACTTGCACT